ATGCGCAGCAGCAAGAAGGTTTCGGTCATCCCTTGAGGGTGAGTCTAGCCCTGCTCGCCAGAAAGACCCCCCCCTTCACTACAACCCATGTCTAAGCAAAAGCTTGTCGAGGAGCGAGGGGAAGAAGGGTGAGTAAAACCACCTTTTTTCCAACAATCTTCTTCTGTGCGTGTGTGCGGGTGCACCACTTCCGCCACGCATTGCCAGAAGTTTCGAGTTCGATAGACAGTGCATCGTTGCTTGGCCCACCCACCGTTTTTCTTTTTCCGTACTCCGGAAGAAATTTAGGTGAACAGTGGGTTTTGAACCCGTGTCTTTTGCAACCACAAGCAGTCACCTGACATCTCTTGTCGACGCCGTTGTGGAAAAGAGGGTTTCATCCTAGACAGATGTTGGGGAGTTTCATCCTTTATGAAGGTGTCCTCCACATCAAACACAGATTTTTGCCGGGAGGCGGGCCTGCAGTCTTAACGGGAACGCGAAGGTCACCGAAAAAACGTCTACATGAGTGGAAAACTTCATGGGGTAGGTGCAAATCGTCACTCGCGCTGCATGTATGTGCCCCCCAGCCGTTGGCAAGAGTCAGACAGAGTGCCTGGTTTTGCAGCGTATTGCCGCTACCAAACCACCACCACAGCGGTCCCCCACGGCACGTTTCAAGCTGAGCCACCTGCCATGGCTGTCAGTCCAACCAGGAGGGCCAAGCGTGCCCATAGGCTGGCCTCTGTCACGAAGAGGGTGTCGAGCCTGTTGGATGCACTGGCCATTTTGGACAACCTCTCAGCGCTCGATGCTCCGACGAAGAGGAACCGCAGCACCCTGGTCGCGCGAGAGAGGCGGCCTTTCGAGACGTACATCAAGCCGATGCTGCAAGACCACACGTTCTCGATGCGCTTTCGCATGGAGTACGATGACTTCAGGGTTCTAGTAGATCACCTGCGACCTGCCCTGCAGCAGAACGAGAAGACGGGGCTGCTGCGCAACGGCGCCATCCCGGTGGAGTACCAGGTCGCGATGACGTTGAGATGGCTCGCGGGGGGGTCCATCTACGAGTACATGGACGGCCATGTCATCGCGAGGAGTACGGCATACCACGTAACGTCGACCGTGATCAACGCCCTGAATGCCTGTCCGGAGTTGAACTGCAAGTGGCCAGAGGGTGAAGATCTGCCAGAGCCGCCGAGCTTTTCCGCAACCGCAGCTCTTATGGATGTCGTCCGGAAGTGCGTGGGAGCCATGGATGGCTTGTTTGTCCGGATGATCAAGCCGAGCGCGAAGGAGGTCGCAGAGCCCAACTTGTATTACAATGGGCACAAGAAAGGCTTCGGCATGAACTTCCAGGTGTGTATGTGCACATACATACATATGTAGATTGTTTCCTTGGTCGGCGGCCTATCCTGATGCCAGATGCGTTTTGCCTGCAAAGCAGCGACGGACCTACATGTGCTGGGGGGGTAGAACATCGGTTCAGTACAGCAGTATTCATACATACCATCGGGTGCGGTTATGCACGATAGCTCAAACGAAGCGTCCAAGTGTATTTTTCCACTCCCCAACGCACAGGATTCATCAAGAGCACTTTGTAGGTAGCAGTGTTGTTGAGGCGCGTCATGGGCGCATATTTTCGTGCGCAGGCTGGAATGGGCCTCATTGCTACTACTACTACTGCTGTTAAAGTTTGTGCAGGCGCGTGCATGCCGTTCTCCGAACTGAGCGGGCACGTGCACGTGGCATCCTCGTTCGATGGTTCTCTTCGAAAAAATCGCCTTTGGTTGAGAGTTATTTCACTTACATGCTCATGCACACGTTGTCCTCCTACTTCAGGCGGTATGCGACGCCCAGTAACGCATCATGGCCTGGACGATGAATTGCCCAGGCAGCCAAAACGACCGCACCGCGTTCAACTTTTCGGGGTTCGACAAGCTCTTGGCGGGCTTGCCCGAAGGTCACTTTGTCGTGGGCAACGCCGCCTATGGGGCGTCCGAGCGCGTCGTCGTCCCGTTCCCGGGGACGAGCCCTCCGCANGAGCAGACCTACGGCATTCTGGTGAGCGTTGTGGGCATGGCAAAAGTTGTAGGCGAGTCCGCGCATGCAATTGGGTGAGTTGGCGTCCTGATGTTAGAGGCAACTCGTGGTAAAGATCCTCGCGATGGGGGAGTGCGCGATGTCTGGTGTGATGTTGTCACAGAGCGCGGCGCATCCGTGCCAGCATCTTTTCATTTTGATGTGGGCAATGCATATTTATTCATGTTTGAAGGGAGCAACGGGAGAAGTGCATATGGACCCTACAGCAGTACTACATAAAGTGTGTTTTTTGTAATACCCCTTGTGTGCATTTCGTTTTGTGTTCGACCCTCCTTCCTTCGCGGGCGCTAGGCGGCTAGGGAGAGACTGAAACCAAATAGGACAGGAGCACACGCATTGCTGCTGGGATAGTTGAACCGGGAGGGAGGGACAAGGAGACAGGCCGCCTGAATTTTGAGTTTGGGCTCTGATTTTGCCAAGATGGTACGTTTTTCCCCTTTGGTCTTGGTTTGCAATGACGGCCTACAGGTCAGGAGATGGGGCATCCTCTGGCGCCCCATGGAGGTTCGCATCGAGAAGTTCGAGCACGTGGTGAACGCCGTCGTTCGCCTGCACAACTTCTGTTGGGATCGAAAGGTGGACGTCCCCACGGAGAACACGGGGTCTGCGATTCCTCCACCCGAGGTCGCTTTTGACGACGACGGCCTCATCAGCAGCGACTACTTCGAGACCGTTCCAGTGCGTACCGGGCGCCCGGTGAAGGACCAGGCTAAGGCGTCGAAGCCGAGGGAGGCCATCCGCAAGGAGCTGGAGGTGGCCGGCTTGATGAGGCCAGAGCACAACATCGCCAGGAGCCACAAACGCGCAAGTTAGAGTGCTGTCGGAACCTTAAACTTGGCAGGGAGGGGAGGTCGAGGGCGAGAGCGGGAGTGGAGGGCAAGAGCGGGGTCGGGACCGGCGGCCAACGTGGTGTGTGTGTATCGCGGGGCTCGGGGTGAGGGTCATGTGCGGTGGTGTGTGTGTATTGTGTTGTGTTGTGTTGTGTTGTGTTGTGCATGTGTGTTTTTCCCTGTGGTTTTCAGGCGGCATTGTTTGGTGGGCGTTTCTTCGTCGTGCGTTTCTTTTTTTTTCTACGTGCTGGGTTAGGATCCGACTAACACGTCCTCCCGCCATCGAAGGTGTTTTTTGTCGAAGCGGTCTACCTCGTATTCGCGGCCCATTATTGTAGTGTCTTTGGGCGTTCGACATGGGACTACCTAGCTGTCACCGTACACTGTTTCCTCGCCAAGGTTCGCTTCTGATTGAAACTGCCTTTTGGGAAGTATACGTGATTGTGGAACTGTGGATCGGGGCCAACGTGCCGTTGAATTAGCTGGCGCTTGTTTTATTGAGGATGATGTTGCCTAAGANGCTTCATAGCTGTCACCGTAGAATGTTTCCTCGCCAAGGTTCGCTTCTGATTGAAACTGCCTTTTGGGAAGTATACGTGATTGTGAAATTGTGCATCGGGGCCAACGTGCCGTTGAATTAGCTGGCGCTTGTTTTACTGGGGATGATGTTGCCTAAGAGAGAACGTTTGAGGACGACCGTAAAAGCACTATTGGTGATTTACGAGCGTGAGCGACAAGCTCTGAAGCTCTCCCGGAGGGGGGGTCGGTCCTCGCGCACGCCCCCATGTGGTAGCATCTGTGTAACCACGCCACTCCTGCCCTTGCCCTGGTGCATTCTTCGTACAGCAGTACTAGGCGACCAAAGTCGGCTTAGGCAACGGTACAAACAATCCCACGGAAAAAGGTGCTTCCCCAACAAACCGGGCAACCTCCAACAGAGCCGCACTGTCCCACTTCCATGCTATTCTCGGACAATAAACTCCGGTGTCCGTACAAAACAAAAATACCTACACGCCTTAAGAAGAACAGGTTCTCACAGGACCTTCCACCCAGCAGAGCACAAGCATGGTCTCCGTGACAATATGATCCTCTGGGACCGAACTGCTGTCATTTTGACGCATCCGTCATTCCAAAACATGTCACGATGTTGAACGCCTGGAATAGATACGAAGATCCGCAGAACCTTGAACCAAACATGAGAACAACCAAACAGATGTCCTCCTTCGAGGGAAACCCGACGTACGTGAAAGCATCGCAATGCCCTGCCATAATGCTGTAGCTCCACTTCTTGCTGTTTAGCCAAATCTGAAGGGGTCGGAGAGCGTTACAATATTTCCGGAAACACTCGAATATTTCATCACGTGCGCGATATCCTCGCCAAAAGGGGGAAGGAGTCTCGTCGCTTGCCGCGTCAAGAATCGTTGCACCTCAAACCCATAAAAAAAATCATGCATCGCCTCCCAATGCCATGGTTGACAGGAGTACGCGGACCTTATGAAATCAAGTTGAACAAAATCATGTGTGGTTGTCCGACGAGCCATGTGGGTTGTTCAACACTTGGCGAGGTCAACAGCAGTCACAAAAAGGCCTCTTTTTTCGTGCCCACGTACAGCAGTAGTTTCCACCCACCCCAGACACAGCAAAAAAAAAATTGGTCGGAAAAGCCAAGTCCTTGATTCCCCCGGAGAACAACTATGTAAGTGGGAACAACCTGTATCTAGTAGCTACGGAGCAACTTCCAAGCGAAGTGACTCTTCGCCATATCCGGGCAGCTGTTGCCCCTCCAAGATTTCTTGCTCTGGTGCATCCCTCTCCACAAATAGAAAATGAGTANTTGGTCGGAAAAGCCAAGTCCTTGATTCCCCCGGAGAACAACTATGTAAGTGGGAACAACCTGTATCTAGTAGCTACGGAGCAACTTCCAAGCGAAGTGACTCTTCGCCATATCCGGGCAGCTGTTGCCCCTCCAAGATTTCTTGCTCTGGTGCATCCCTCTCCACAAATAGAAAATGAGTAGATAATGAAAAACAACTGGGGTTGGCGCGTGGTGTTGCGTTTACTGAACGGGTCACCCCCGCGCAACCCCCATGCCGGGCAACGCCTTTGGGTAGAACACAGATCAAAGACTGCCCCACGTTTGAAACTTCAAAAACACAGCATCCCTCACGGCTCGGGGAGCATTCAACATGTGCGCTTACGTTCTGTTCTCGTCCTGTTGTTGCCGCTCACTCCGAAACACACGCCCCACAGCCCCTGCGCCCCTGTGTGGACTGTTACAGCAACACCCGCGCAATCGCCCGCAGGTTTCCAGCCAGGGTGCTCCCAAAGACTGTATCCCCCCCACCATCCATCCCCGCCTCTCGCCCGCGCAACCAGTACTCAAGCCCCACCCCCGTCGCCTGTACGCGCCAAGGCCCGTGCCATCGCCGGCAAATCATCCCCGGGCGTGCGTCCCGGAAGCCCATGGAGATCCTACATCACATGGCCCGCGACCGTTCCTCCTTCGACCGCTGCAGGCGTAGATGGCGCAGCAGGACTCGATGACGGTGGGGGCGCGGCGGCGGCGCTCGATGATGCCACAGCGCCTCGTCGCTGCTCTGCTCAGCCCGTGCCATTCGCGCTTCAGCGGCATCCAACAACTTCTGATATTTCTCCCGCAAAACGTTCGATGATGCAGAATCGACCTTTGCTTGGAGCCTCTGAATATCGTCGATGGATCCCTCCATGGCAAGGTCCTTCGCTCGGTCCTTCTCTATCTCACCGAAGGCAGGTTCGTCTCCCCGTACTTCCTGCTCCGCTGCTTTGCGCCACAAGGCGATCACTTCCTTCGTGTCGGCTACCAGCTCGGCCCTGTCATCGGAACCCGTCTTGGGTTTCTTGTGCTTCCGAGAGTTGTTGTTGCCAGAGGAACGGGCGGGTGTCGCCTCACCTCTCCCTCGGACCCCGGGTCCACCCGGCACGCTGCTGCCTGAGCCTGGGTGTCCATCGGGGAGGACGATATCGCCGGGGCGGTATGTCTCGTCGTCGCCTCCGCCGGAGAGCTCGATACCGTCCTCCCAGAGCATTGTCGGTAAAGAGCCCCGCATAAACTGGAACGGATGACGGGCGTTGACGAACCCCCGTCCTGAGTTGCGTCCGCACCGGCCCCACCACTTCTTTGCTCGTTCTCCTTGAATTTCTGATGTGCCGAGGAGAGGGCGAAGAAACGGTCCACGTTCGTCGGAAATGGGATGGGAACAAAGCCGTGAGTCTTGAGTGGTGAAATCTGATGTCGCTAACAATCGTTCTGCATTCCACGTGGTACTTGTGTTGGGGCGTCAACGGAAAAAGGGAACGACATACACACAATGGCGCAAGGCCGGACGGAAAAAAAACGTGTTTCATCCAAAAAAACTTGGGGGAGAGGCGCACCCCACGATGATACTGTTCCCCCCCCTCGGCCTGCTCCCCGGCCGGGGCCGAAATCGACCTAGTGAGTCCCTCGCGGGGGAACCAGGCCACAACAGATAGTAGGCGGGTGGTGTCCCAAGGTGCAACTCACCGCCGCGCTGGCTCAGCGTGGCGGTGAGGATGCACAGACGGTGGTAGTGGCGAGAGGTGTGTATGGACACTGTTCCCGCGGCAGTAATGCAAAGCGGCAAACTGCACCTGGCAACCACCGTCGCGGAAAGCGTGGCCCACGAAACTGGAGGAGTAGAGAGATTCGTAAACACCACGTCAGTAAGCACCGCTCGCGGGAGAAGGGAGACAACCGCGGGCACCGCGGGGAGGGAGTGCTGCACCCTCCTCGTCAAAACACCACAGGCAAGAACCGAGCTCTGCAGAGATGGATTGATGCGAGGAAANACCGCGGGGAGGGAGTGCTGCACCCTCCTCGTCCAAACACCACAGGCAAGAACCGAGCTCTGCAGAGATGAATTGATGCGAGGAAATTCGCCGCTCGGAAAATACGGAAGAAGGGACACCCGCAACGCGAGGTGGACCGAGAGAGACATGAGATCGCAGCGGCCGTCAAGGCGGCTGCGAAAAAGAAGGCACGAGAGGGCGACCTATCGTTCGGCACGTTCAACGTACGCACGCTCGCCTANGGCTGTGATGTGATAGGACTTCTGAAGACCCGACGAGAGGGGCAAGGTTCAATTGCACACGACGGGTACGTGATCATCTGGAGTGGTGGACATCTCAGCTCCTCGTCGCCAAGAGACCTGCACCATTCCCCCGAAGGTCCTCGGCGCTCGATTCAAGGTGACAATTCAAGGTAGTATCGTCTACTACGATGCCTTGACGTGGGCATCAATCAATCAATCAATCCTCGTCGCGACGCCGGTCGCGAAACCACACACAGCCGAACGGACGAAGCTCCGGTCATGCACGGCTCGATGGTTGGTAGAAAGCACGCGGAGGGTCATCGGCACGCTGCCGAACAGTGGTACCGGCAGCAGAAGACACAACGAGGCAACCCTGCACGGCGCAGTTGTGGGAGCAGTAGCGGTGGTCGATGTTAGTGTGTAGTGGACGTATTTTTGTCACACCCGTTTGCGGCATAAGAGTCTCAGAATCAAAACCATGTACTTGTATGAGTCGTGAGAGTCCTGTCCTGCCATGGTGCGTAAACAGCAACCTATGCAGCACAGGGACAACAAGCATGTCGGGCAGTCGACATCGTACGGTGCGTCAGTCTTGAACGAAAGAGGCGGCGTTTTCGTTCAACCCGTTGAGCGCGAGCGGTGAAATGGCTGAGGTAAACGCGCAGTGAGCGTGCGTCAGGTACGAGAAAACAATCGGTCCCGCATGCGAATAAGCGAGCATGGAACATAGGCTCCCAAGGGACCTGCGCCACGATATCTGTGCTGTTATTCGCTGATCTGCTCGTACAGCGAGGCCGAGCCGAAACAAGGCGAATGCCACGAAAACATTCGTTTCAACAACCCCCCAACGAGAGGAATACCGCGTTCTGCCGAACCGTACAATGTGGCAGAGCGCAGGGACGTGCGTTCCTGTATGTTAGTGATCAGCATCGCTGGGAATAGCCATGATGATTGCTCAATACCGATACGAACAACACGTGCACGAGGATTCATCCGCGTTGATCGAAGAACTATTCTTTTTTGATCGCACATGAAATGTAATGGGCGATGTAGCCCATACTTTCAGATACGACTCGACGGAGGTTGATCAAAGTTGATAGCGTCCGTGTTCTGACGTGGAGTCCTGTGACATCCAGCACAAAAGTTCTTTTGCACACTTTGAGGGAAGAGAGTACTGCGCTCCTCTCGCATCAAAAATCGCAAGCACAGCAGGAGGGGTAGGTAGGGGGCATCAGGGAGATGAACTCTTCGGTGTGACGATGAATTGGAGCTCCCTAGGAGAACGCTGTGAGCAAAGATATAAAGTAACAAAAAAAAAAATGCCATCACAACTGATAAAAATTCGAGCTCACATTCTGCTGCTCGATTATCAACTTGCCAACCACAAGTATGTCGATTCAACCTCAACCAAATCCCCAAGCCTCAAACTCACATATGTTTCGTTGTTGGCGCTCATCCTCTGAAGCTATCTGTTGTCAGCACTACGTTCGCGAAGCAGCTCGTCGTGGAGTGCCAATATCTCTCTCAGCTCGTCCTGGGGCACCAGGTCATCACTCACAGCCGCCACTGATGCAAGCAACGCCCCATGAAGTTCCCAACCGTAAACAGTAAAAACGAGGCAAGGCACATATGAACTTAAGTGGCACGAGGGTCTCAAGCGTAAATGCGAAGGGGAATGTTCAGCGGCTCAGTTGTGCAACTAAGCCAGAACAGGTGGGGTATCGCGACGTGAAAACACGAAAACGGCACCAAGCGTTTGGGCACACAAGTGAAGGCCAAGCTCGCCGGGATGACCAAGCACCCATCAAACAACCCACAACAACACACGAAAACAGTTCGACTGGTCAAGGTGACCATGGTTCACCAAATAAGTCCAACTACGACATCCGGTCGAGACAAAACGCTCGAACAACATCAGAGACAAATGATTCCACGCGGCCCGGTTTGCGCGCCGATGATACGCCTGTGAGTGAGAAAATTGCGCAACGGAGAGAGGCGGGGCCTAGTATGACATGAACCTTGAAAATACCGAGTTTGAAATGAGCGTTTGCCTTGCCTGGAAGCCACTTCAACAGCGGAGCATATTTCCTCCGCACGTAAGAGATAGCGGAAAGCCTGTGGAACGACTTTTGCCCGAAGTTGCTCACGAGGCGAGGCCCAAATGAAAGCATGCGAATGCTGAGTGTAATTGTTCTCGATCACAATAGACAAGGCACGCATATCTAGTGGTCGTGAACACAATTCTGACGTACATTTGCGGGTGATCCTGTCAACTGCCCTCTGAAAACGGCCCAGCTTGGCATCATGCTCGCGATGCAGCTCATACGCTGAGACGAACGAATTGGTAGATATTTTTCCTGTTCACTTGGTCGCGTCTGGACAAAAAACAAACGCTCCTTCGGCATTACTGCTTTGCCGGCGCAGAATAACCCCAAGGGTCGCCACCTCGAGCCCCGTGCACAAGAGTGGGAATTTACCTCTCTCTTGAGCCCTCTCGAGAAAGTCATCCACTGTCTCGGTGACAGCTTGCCGCTGCTTCAAAGCCAGCCCCCCCCCTGTCGATGGTCGTGGATTGCACCCGAACATGACACGACGTGCGGTAGCGTCACATGTGGTGGCGTAGGATGAGGCTTCATTTAATATCACAACAGAGTGCCAGCGAGACATTTCAATTTTCTCACCGGTGACGAATATCAGATGGAAACGAACAGGCGTGCAGCTATGGGAACCTGTGTACAGCCAGGAGAATAGTCTGCTGACACCGCCGGCCCCCGGGCTGGCTTTGACAGGCAAACGGCGAAGGCACACAGCATGCACAGACGACAGTGCTGCTGAATCATGGCAAAATTCCTCATGCACTACAAGGGCAAGATGTGAGCGAACAGAATGTCAGCGCATGTTCCCGCGGTTCTATCGCCCCAATTTGACAACAGCACTCTCCAACTCCAAACTTACTCCAGACGATCCACAATGGCACAAGGCACCATTGTCACGATTCTCCACACAACGGTTAATTTACCCGCCAAGCGGTTAGGATCGATGAGGACTCAGTTCTCGTAAACTACCATCCAGAGAATTTCAGCAGAGGGTGCCACCCGTACACCTCGATTTGTCGGTATTCAACGTGAGTTTCGTGGCCGTGATCATGTTCCCAGTGAAACGGTATCTGAACATCGCCGATGACGTTGTCGTTGGCAAATATGGACGGTCGGGTGGTCTAAATATCCCTGTTGATACATCACTATTGACGTGTGGGTGATACGGGACTGTGGCCGAGAGTAAGCCGGCCTTGCTCAATATGCAAGAAGATTCCCCACCCAACGGGAAAATGTCACAACGTCGCTCATTTTGCATCCAGCTGGCCATCACACTTACCGCTGGGCACCAAGCTATCCGAGTCCGGCCCAGTTTTCATCACCTTTTTGTTCAGGATTTTCACCTGGAAACCAAACGCGGCGGCATGCAGCATGCTGGCGTCAAACGTAGACATCGGCAACTGAACATCGCATGGTTCTCACGAGCTACGTTCCACGACGGTGGAACTGCTGAACGACCGTGTGCATGCTTGATGGTGAGCTTCTCGATCGGCAAAAAATGATAAAGAGAGGTTTCTGAACCTACGGTATACTGCTGTATAGCACATTCACCGTACCGCAGACTCCAGCTTGGCGTTTTTTGCATTTGCCTCCTCCAAACCGTCTTTAAGCCTGGCGTTCTCTTCTTTCGCAGCTTCCAGGCCGGCTTTAAGCTCTTCGTGCGTTGCTTCCGTGCGAATGCGCATGGAAGCCATGCGCTCCATCAACGCTGCCACGTCAATATCACTCTTGGCAGCACCGTCAGGAACGGCTGGACGAGTAGCTGCAGCATGCGACTGCCGTGAAGCTGGTTGGGCGGAGCTAGCGTCGTGATTGGCACGCTCCTGCGTGCCGTGAGATGTCAAACCAACTTTTCGCCCGGCCTCTGGGAGTACAATCCCGACAAGAACTTTCACCTGGGGATGCATCATGTTTCATCAACGCGTTTATTTCCATTAGATATTGCTTCCGTGAAAAAATACCGCGAGTGTGTGACGCTGTATGAGCGAGTCCGAGTGTCTGCTTGATACACCGACAGTACCCTTAGCTAGTCGCCGAACTCCTTGTCCCTTGGGCGAACAAATCTATATAGGTTCACTTGGGAATCTCTCCGAAGCGACGCTCTCCGAAGCAATGCACAACGGTGGGAGTTGCTTGATATATCGCGTATGACAGCAGTGTAAGTGAACGGCTCCAACCACAAGAGGGGAATCAACCAACGTTTTACTTGCTTTTTTCTGGAACTGCGCTGGTTTTCGTGTAACCCGGCCACATAGGTTGACCCGGCAAAGGCGGCGAAGGTCGCCTGAGTACACAACGCATACGGAATCTACACGAAACACCTAGTAGGAACTCGAGACGGTCGGCGAAAAAACAGACACGTGGGGGCGGCCTGTACCAAAAACGTTCCTAAACTCACGGCACAAAGGAAATCACGGATACACGCGGTGTTTGGATTCCTCGCATGTATAGCGCCAAGCACGCGCCTAGATAAGTTACCCGTTCTATTTCATGTCTTGCTACCGTTCTTCCCGGCTGTAGAATAGCGTCCAACCAAATCTGTACTTTACCTTCTCGTCAGCAGTGTTTGTGCCGCGGAGGCAATCCCGCCCAACTGCCTTTAGAAGAGTCTGGAGATGCCTTTTCCCAAGCTTCCTCCCAGCCTGAAAGGACGGTGGCGATAAGAAAGAGCGGTGGGGATCTTGTAGCTGGCTAAAATACGGCGTGCAAGATGGCTGCTGTCCATGTCACCATGTTCGTCAAGCAGGACTGGAAACACAAAGGCTTCGACGGCAATAAAGCTCTCAGAGGTCTTCGTATACCTGTACGGCAGGAGTCGTTTTCCTTGCGTCGAGGTTGTTCGGCTCGTAGTCCGCCACTTCTTCGACAAACCAGTCCATGACGGCTTCCTCGGTCGCAGGGTCTGGCGAGGCGCCAATATCTTGGCTCCATCCGCCCCCGCCTGTAGCAAACAACCCACGGTACCCCGCCCGAGCACAAGATCTCAACGTTGTATTGGAATACTCATCCCACTTAAAACTTGTTGCAGGTGCCTGAGGCCGTGGCAATACCCTCGTAATAGGGCTCACGGTGGGTTCGACGGGTGTCGCGACAAGACCCCAAGAGTACCCTCACTATTATTTTGCCATGTAAACGCCGAACATATGTATCAATGGACGGCCAGATACCGAATGGGGGCTGGGTGCACCGAACATTAAGGTGGTGGCATTACAGCGCTCTGGATCGTCTACTATCTTCAACAGGGCAACGTCGAGCGGATGGTTTCGTAAACCACGTACCCACCGCACAAAGTTGAGCCAAACACCATGGCGCTGAGGGTAGACGTATTTCTACAAATACCGTTGGGGTTCCACTAACACATTGCCCACAAACAAGTTGGTGCGTACGTACACAATTTTGAAGGATGGTGGGCTCAGCCATCCAACAAACCCGACTCAGTAAAGCGGCATTGACTGCCAAGGGACAAGCCAATTGCGCTGTGGATCCTCACCCTCAACACCACCCATACCTGCTGTGGTGTGCGTGCCACGTTCTTCAGCCGTGTCAGTCGTGGGGAGGGCGCCGTCCACATACCCATCCGAGAGTTGCAACGCCAACGTCCTCGCCAGCGAACAACAGCCAGCCGAGTCGGGCGCAATGTCGCAGATCTGCCAGAGTATCCGAAACGTCGTGGGTGCGTCAGTGTCGACGATAGCACCAGCCAAGGGGCCGGCGCGTCTTACGTAGAACCTCCGAGGCACCGTACACGTGAAACAAGCTCACCTTCGACACTCGTCGAGTTTGCAGATAGCGGTCTCCCGCATTCAAAGCTGCTGCAGCCAAGCCCGCAAGCCCACCGACCACAGGCACCGCGCTCGACAGAAACTTCAAGGTCTTCCCTGCCTGCACGAGGAATTAGAACCACGAGCTCCGATTGACACTCATGCAAAGCAACAGGCGGGTATTGAGACACATATATGAAACAATACAAGCCCAAACGCGGCAACATGCGGACGCATAGCGGCGGCAGCACTCACCGTACCCATGCGACCGGTTTTGCTTGTGCAAACCAAGCTACTGCAGACGACGCTGGCTGCGAGGTAGGCGTTGCATAGACCAGTTCGGATTGCCATGTAGTATGCCTTGGGACCTGGGGGCAACGCCAGCTCCCTTCGTTGTATGGCTTCATTCACCACGTGCCTCGACTGCGCACTCAGACAATACATCGCCGGTTGCAGTAACGTTGGGCGAAAACATCGTTAGGGAAGCAGGAGGAATGCGATCCATGTGCGTGTGGGAAGGGCCACCAGCACAAGGATACCTGCAAAAAGGAAAGTCTTCCAGGTTAGTACAAAAGGTGTACCACATAAAAAGTCGGCTAAAATGCGTCCACCAGGCCCTTACCCGTTTGGGCCGAGGGATCCCTAGACGACAGTGCAACGCTCACCACCATGTCCTCTAAATCTTCGGCCATTGCCACCAGCCTGTTCAGCTCCCCGAGCGTAGCCGTCTCGCCAAGTCCCGTGCCAGGAGAAGAGCG